AGCTCACAGGCAACTCTGATGGCGGGAGCAGCTCCTTTCCGCAGCAACTGGTGCCGCTTATGTAAGCCGGGTAAATCTTGCAACTTCCTGGGCTCCCAAAGCTTGATAAGTTGCAAGAGCTTCTCTCCTCCAGCCAGGATGGATGTTTCAATTCCCAGGAATTAACTACATAGCAGATGACTACAATGTCTTGTCTCCCACACGGTCTAGGTCTCCATCCCTGCCTCTCTCTCCTCCCTCCCCCACCCCTTTCTCTCCTCTCTCTTCTCCCTCTCTGAGACAGGCTGGGCTTTCTCTGCCATGCCCCACTCCTCGCTGCTGCATGGATAATTGCAGCACAAATGTTCTCTACACACTGATAAGGTGGCTGCCACACAGGCTAGGGGTGAACACAAGCCTGTCTGGGTCCTGCATCTGTTCTAAGTACCTGGGGCATAGCTTCAAGGCCAATGTGTGTGAGGTGGTAGCCTGAGGCCAGGAAGTAAAGACAGGGATGTGTTCTCTCCCTTTCCCCTCCCTGCCTCCAGTTCCCTCCCAGCCAGCTGGATAGGTGCAAAGCAGGCATCCAATCTAATTAGTTAAACCCTCAGTTCTAACAGGAGGAGGCTTAAAGAAAAAAAAAATCTAGCTTTCTTGGCTCTCAGCCTCTCAAAAGATAATGAAGAAGATAGGATTTCAGGAGTGGAGTCCCAGTGCCTTGATCTTCACTGCCGGGGGCAACCATCTGTGAGCTGAAACCTTTATCTTAGATGCCCACACCAAGCAGAATGGCAAAACTGTGAGCTCACAGACAGACTGACTGAGTCTCTTGGGGCTCTCACCTGGGGACTTCAGGTACAACGACCTGCTAAGTTCCTGCCACATAGATCAGGAAGTCAGAACCAGGAGATCCAGCCTTCTCGACTCTCAAGCGTTTGTCTGTCTAGCAGTTTCTGTCATGGTGCTTCTGCCAACCCAAGCTAGCTGCTGGGTCCTTGTTTCAGGTCACTCAGAGACACCCCTCACCCACCCATCTGCCCTTGCTATCCCCTGAACAAGTGTGTATGATCCTAGCTATGCAGACAAGACAGGTCAGAGGACATAATAACAGGAAGGACAGAGGTAGAACCTTTTGGGGTGGCCTCCAGGGTTATGGGTGGGGGTGGAGTACTTGAGGACATAGAGTCACTAAACAGGTGTTGCCGCCACAGACTGAATTATGGGCTGTGATAATCTCATGGCAGTGTATTCTAGTAAGAAGAGGGAGAGAAGCCATTGCAATGCCCTGGCAGTGCCAGCTGGCTTCCCCCAGCCACTGGTAATCAGACTCTATCATGTGTTGAGTATTAAACCAGACAACTGACCCAAACAGCGGCATTTGCTAAGTTAATCTCCTGAGGCCACTGTTCACTCCTTGATGGCCAATGGCACAGTCCTGTCCTTTTCCAGCCCTAGAAACGGCAGGAGACCTGATGGAGGAGAGCAGAACACCTACAGTCCACAGAGGCAGCTGCCCGGCCCCTGCCTCCTGCCTGCGCTGGGACTAAAGCAAGCTAACAGCACTGAAGGGCAACCAGGATTGAGTGGACCAAGGACGAAGACTGGAGCTCTAGGAGGAGTCTTGTCATTCCCCATGGTAAGGAGGAAAACAAGACACCTATGAGACCTTCCTAACACTTGCCATTCAAGCCAGAGTCACAACCTCATCCCAACTCACCCAGAACACTGGAACATGAAGGCCACCCCTCTGTTCCCCTCACAATTGCACATGCAAACATGTACCAAGACCCCTCCTTTAGCTCGTGGGGCAAGCACTTGACACACTGGGATCTGGAAGCACAGTGCCCTATCTATAGGTCATTTGATCCTTTCAACTGCCGTTCATATGACCATGAGACGGGAGAGCCTAGAGCCCCACAGTTAAGCTTTACGTTGGTGGGTTAACTTTTCAAAATGTGCGACATAGCTTTAAGTCAATTGTGCCTTTTCCTACTTGAAAGCTTTTTTTTTTCTTTCCTATAACAGGGGCCAGTGATCAGGCCACACACAAATTCCCAATGAAAAGTATATGATCCAAAGTGAACCAAAGTTCAAATGTTCGTCTTAAGTTATTTCATAACAAACAAGTTACAGCCCCCATCCTATTTCTCCCTCTAAGAAAAAAAAATAAGAGAAAAAATATAAAATATAAGATATTATGGTCACACTACAAAATGATAACCAGATGAATTTGTCCCCTTTGGATTATTAAAGCACTCAATGATGCAAAATTGGCATGAGCTTTATCTCTCCAGCTATGGAGATAACTACTTGGCTTACATATATTGGTTAGGTAAGTACTCTATTAATGAGCTCCATCCCCAGCCCAAGAAGTCAGGTTTTGGGTGGGGTCTTCCCATATTTTTCAAAGCTAATCTATAAACTTCCTAATGTTTACTTTCTTCCAATATATTTCTTTTTTTCCCCACAATGTAAACTCATCTTTTATTTTTGTTTCCTGTTGACTTGAAAATAGTGATGTAGGACATTGCTCTGGTAGTAATTTCAGATCATAAGATGACTCCTGAGAGGCGTGGCAATATAGCACAGTCTCCAAATAGAGTAGTTTCAGATTCCCCATATGTTTCACACAATATATTTCCAAAGAGGTTTTTGTGCCTATTTCCTACCTCATGTTACCAAAATCTGACCTCTGAAAATTAACATGGACATGGCCAAGCCTCTCCATCATGCCAGTATTTCCAGTTATACTTAGGACCAACTTCAATTGTGACAGATGCTCACTCACCCTCTGGCTTAAAATAGCTGTCGTAGATGTCAGGCATGGCAAACGCTCTCTGCCAGCTTAATAGCCCATTAGGCGACTTCATGAAAGAGGCAAATGAATCCATCACCAAAGGGGAGCATCAGCTTCACCCACCACCACGGGCTAGAGACCTCACACGAATCAATCGTTGAAATGGCTTTGATTTGTTAAAAATAGAAGTCAACACACTGCTTGGCTATAGAAGCTGCCTGCTAGATTTTTCAGAATTCAACAGCACTATGCTTGGAGAATGAGCACCCCGGAGATACACAGAGTTCAAAGAGGACCCCCACAAAGCCTCCCTCTCTCTCTCTCTCTCTTGGATGATGCATGTGGCATACTTCCAAGGATGGCACGATGGAAAATCTCTTGCAACTCTAGACATCTACCCTGGCCACAGCCAATCGAGTTCATCAGGCTTCCCTTGAAGTGTCTGCAATTTACACTGAGATCATTCTCCTTCTGGCTGGAAAAAAAAAACCCACAAACTATTTTAATTGCTTGAAGCAATTCTACTATGTTGTAATTATCACACTGCCATGTAATTATTTGCTTTGTGAATGTCTCTCTCCAGCCCCAGCCTTCTCCACCCCAGACTCTAGCTCCTTAAAAGAGCTCCCCACAGCCTTGATATCCAGTATATGCCTGGTATGCAGAGAAACTTGGGAACTTCAGACAGACCAAGTCCATTTGAATTGGAAATGTCAGTAATTTTTCCTCTTATATTCTGAATCCTATTATGAATCCCAGAATCTATTATGCTTGTATGGCTAATCAACAAGACTTATGCACCTTGAACATCTCTGTAAGTGATGTTCACTAGACAGGTGTATTGTAAGAAATTGGAAATTATCACCATATATTTCTATATTTGGAGTCTTCCATGCCTATCATCCATAGAAATTAATAACCCTGATTACTTGAGTCTCTAAGGCCAATCTCACATTAAAATTAAATATGTATGTGATACACTTAACTCAATGGCTAGCACATGCGAACACTCTTTGGACATTAGCGCTCTGTCCCTAGCTCTCGCGCTACTTAGCACCTCTAAAGTGACAACAGTATAGCTTGCAGGGTCATCCTCTGGCACCTACTCTGTCATCACAGGCCAGGAGCATTGAGGGGCCATCACCTGGATGCCCATTTTTGTATGGTTTCCCCCTGAAACCAGTGGATGCTCTGTTTTAATTTTACTTACTCTCTTTTACCTCTCCCTTCCCCACTCCAAGCTGTAGATGCATAAAATCAAGCCACCCTGTGGGCTCTACGCATGCAATGCTAACAGGGCAAGAAGATAACAATGAGACAAGAAAAATGTTCTAGCCTAAAGGACTGTCTTCTTCAGAGTTCATCAACTAAGGGAGTCTGCCTATTGGGGTGTGATAAAAGAATGCTCACGTTTATGCGGCTATAAACTGAGCCCAGTCCTTTGGCTGTTGGGTGAAAAATGACACAGGAAGAATACCTGGCAACCCCAATAGAAGTGTGTCATGAGTGGGTCAACATGAAGAATGAGGCCAGCAGTGAGAGAGAGCTCCCTTGCCACAGACAGGCAATGGATTCCCATGGAGAAGTGTAAAAATAGCTAACCATCTCTGTTTGCTCATTAAGTCACTCTCTCACCGTAATGCAAGTCTCTAAGGATCCCTCGACTAAAAATTCCCAAACTGATGGGCATAGATATTCACCTCTTCGCTGACTGATCACACATGTGCCAGCTGCTATCATCTGAAGGCAGACGGACGCTTGGAAGCAGAGTCAACACTTCTTCTTAATGACCTCCACCTAAGTGCAGATCCCCTAGGTACATGAGCATGCCTCGCCCTTTACAAATAACAGCACAGGGGACTAGCAGGTTGCCACAATAGTATTATAAGCAACTTAGAGATGTGCCGGAGTTAAGTCCCCAGAGCAGATCCCGTCGGGTAGGTGGAATTTCAGATACCTACAAGAAGAATGAATTAAGATCACTGTCAAACCGAGAGTGGTTTGAGTTTGACTTGATTGGTTTGGTCTTTTTTAAAATCTGAAACAAAACGCCACAAATCTACAATGCCGTCAGAACCAACTCAGGCAATTCTGACCTATAGATAGTAGATCCATGCCAGTGTTCTGAAACCATCCGCAGATCTCAGAGAGTATGTACAACCTCCCTCCCCCACGCCCTCCGAGTGACATCACGGAACAGTCACAGGAACGCAGCTGCACTTACGCAGAGCATGCCACTCATCCTGGCGAATGGTCTTCGTGATGTTGAATGTGAGGTTCCTGGGGATGGTTGCTGAGGAGTAGTGGTACTTGATGTACGTGCATCTCTCAATTTCTCCTAGAAGAGAGAAACAGAAAACCAAGTGTGAATGAGGCAGGGACCACCTCTCCCGCATCCTGGGATCCACACACCCATCCTGAAGAAACAGACATGTTTCATGTGGAGCCTCATGAAAGTTACAGTTTATGCTATGCAATAAGCTTGACTCAAAATGAACAAGAAAGTAAAACTACAATCAGATGGAATGCCTTAGAAAGGAAAATGCATCTAGGGTCATGAATGGAGTGGAAGAATCAAAATTTGGACTATTAGAAGTTTTTTTTTTTAAGTGGTGTCCATGTTTGCCTAGCCTTAAGAAAACATGTTTTAAAAAAAAGAAAAACAAAAACAAAAGAAAACCAGCTTTCAAAGCTTAAAAAGTTGATTGCACCTGAGAGTAACATTTGTCAATAACGCTGAGGGTGTCTTCTTGTCTACCTATGCATGTGAACACACAACTACACACATACCTGCACACACACATATGCACACACACATATATATACACACACACACACGAACACACCACCTTCAGGTTAAAAGAGGAATTTACTCTTTACAGACCTTGAAAGAACAATATTTAACTTCATATAGAAAAGCAAAACACCCAAGATAGCTAAAAGCAATCCTGTACAATTAAGGAACTTCCAGAGGTATCACCATCCTTCATTTTAAGCTCTTCTGCAGAGCTACAGTAATAAAAAACAGTTTGGTATTGACATAAAAACAGACAGGTGGATCAATAAAATCGAATAGAAGACCCTGACAGGCATTAACGCCTATGAACACCTGGTTTTTGACAAAGAAATCAAAATTATACAATGGAAAATAAAAGCATCTTCAATAAATGGTGTTGGCATAACTGAATGTTGGCATGTAGAAAAATGCAAATAGATCCATCTCTATCGCCCTGCATGGAATTCCCTGCACAAAATGCAAGTCCGAATGGGTCAAAGACCTCAACATAAATCCAGTTACACTGAACCTGATAGAATAGAAAATGAGAAATAGCCATGAACACATAGGCACAGGAGACAGCTTCCTGGATAGAACACCAGTAGCACAGACACTGAAACAAACAATTAATAAATGGGACCTCATGAAACTGAAAAGCTTTTTTTAAGGCAAAAGACACTATCAGTAAAACAAAACAATAGCCTACAGAATGGAAAAAGATCTTCACCAGCCCCACATCTGACAGAGTCCTGATCTTCAAAATATATGAAGAACTCAAGAAACTGGGTATAAAAACCCAAATAATCCAATTTTTAAAATAAAATATAGACCTAAACAGAGAATTCTCAACAGAGGGATCTCAAATTGCTGAGAAACACTTAAAGAAATGTTCATCATCCTTAGCCATAGGGAAATGCAAATCAAAATGACTCTGAGATTCCAACTTACACCAGAATGGCAAAGATCAAGAACACAAGTGACAGCTTCTGCTGGAAAAGATGTGGAGCAGGATAACACTTCTCCACTGCTGTGGGTGTTCAAACTTGTACAGCCACTTTGGAAATCAATATGGCAGTTTCCCAGAAAATTGAGAATAATCTACTTCAAGACCCAGCTATATCCTTGGGCATATGCCCAAAGGATGCCCAATTATACCACAAGGACACTTGCTCAACTATGTTCAGAGCAGCAGTGTTCATAATAGCCAGAACCTGGAAACAACCCAGATGCCCCCCAACTGAAGAATGAATAAAGAAAATTTATTTACATTTACACAATGGAGAGTATTGCTCAGCTGTTACAAACAATGACAGCCGGAAATTTGAAGGCAAATGGGTGGAACTAGAAAAAAAAAATCCTCTTGAGGAAGGTAACCCAGACACAGAAAGACAAGCATGGTATGTACTCACTCCTAAGCGGATAGTAGCTGTAAAGTGAAGGATAATCATGCTACAACACACAGTCCCAGAGAGGCTAGGTAACAAGGAGGGCCCTAAGGGGATACACAGTTTCCCTGGAAACGGGAAACAGAGGAAAGCTTCTGGGTAGAGCGGAGACAGGTGAGCATGGGAACATGAGGAATTGGTCTGCAGGGTGGATGGAGGAGGAGAGTAACAACTGTGATGACTTGAGAGTGGGGGCATTTCAGGGTCAGATGGTGCCTGATGCAAAGATCTCCCACAAATCTATAAGGATGATCCCAGCTAAAACTCCTAGCAGCGGTGGGCAGGTAGCCTGAACTGGCCATCTCCTGTAATCAGATTGGTAACTACCCCAATTGCCATCAGAGAGCCTTCATCCAGTGACTGATGGAAACAGATACGGAGATCCACAGCCAATCACTGGGCCACGCCCAGGGAATCGTGTTGAGGAGAGGGAGGAAGGATTGTACAAAACCAGGGGTGGGGGCTTAGGGTCACCATAAGGGAACTGACAGAAGCAACTGGCCTGCTCATGGAATTCACAGACCATGGACTGATGACTAGGGAGCCTGCATGGGGCCAGCATAGGACCTCTGCATATGTGATGGTCCTGTGGAATGGTCTACTAGTGAGATTCCTGGCCGTGGGAGCGGGGCCTGTCCCTACTGCCTTGACTGGCTCTTCAGAAGATATTCCTTATACAGGGTTACCTTGCCCATTCTTAAAACAAAGGGTGGAGGTTAGTCCCACTTCAACTTACTATGCTATGCTTTGTTGGCACCCATGGGAGGCCTGCTCCTTTCTGAACAGAGGTAGAGGGAGGGTAGATTGGGGAGGGGAGGCAAAAGGGAGGAGAGGGGAGGGGAGAGGATGGGAGGAGCGCAGAAGGGAAGCTGCAGTTGGTATGTAAAATGAATGAAAAATTTTAATTAAGGAAAAAAGAGGAATTTTTCAATCAAATAAATTTACGTTTCCACACAGACCAAGGGCTTATTTCCACCCTAGTGGTACTGTCTGTGCTTTCAGCAAACAGTCTTCTGGAATGTGTAGGGATGGAAGGCAGCCTTTCTTTTCCCTTTCTATCCTCCTAGCTTCATTCCTCAACACAAGGCTTTCAAATCAACCCAGTTTTCATTGTGCCATTCTCTCCTCAGGTTTCATGAATAAAAGAACATGATGACCCTGGCCTCAGTACCTGGTTCAGCATACAACCCTAACTACATTCTAAATATTGTCCTTATACCCACAGACAAGTGTAATCCTCACCGGGGATCAGGTAAACTTCTCTTAGAAACAATGACCATTATAGAAAACTGTAGTTGATCAAAATGCAGAGCTGTTGATAAAGTCCAAATAGATACATCTATAAAACATCTCCCACATATAAGGCTCAAGGAATATTTTGAAAGAGGGGGAAGAAAGATTATAAGAGTCAAAGGATTAGGAAGTTTGCTGTAAGGCCATGTCTCCTAGTAATGTCAGAAGCTACACCCCTATTGTATTTATCAAGCGCTAGAACGGATCACAAGACACACAACGGAACCCACTTTAAGAGTTTATTAAGAGGGGAAGAGAAGAAAGTGGAGCAGGCGTGTTCAGTTTTTAAATGTTTTCTAAAGTTGCACACAGGGGCTTTTGTGACCCGTCACACGTAGATCACATGACCATTCTTCGCGTGGCCTGAACACTTGATGATGCATGCGTGGCCATGGAACCTGGAAGTTACAACACTTAGGCTGGCTAGGCATTTTGCCAGAGAGCTGGCAATTTTGGGTGATGGAAATGATAACACATATTTTTCTCTGCTCTCTTCCCTTTCTCTCCCCTCCCCTTCTACCCTCTCCCATGATCCCCATGCTCCCAAGATCGGGAGATCTTGTCTTTTTGTATTTCCCTTGTAGATTAGATCCATGTATGTGTCTCTTAGGGTCCTCTTTGTTGTCAAGATTTTCTGGGATTGTGAATTGTAAGCTGGTTTTCTTTGCTTTATGCCTAGAAACCACTTATGAGTGAATACATATGATAATTGTCTTTCTGGGTCTGGGTTAGCTCACTCAATAAGATGTTTTCTAGCTCCATTCATTTGCCTGCAAATTTCAAGATGTCATTAGTTTTTTCTTCTGTATAGTACTCCGCTGTGTAAATGTACCACATTTTCCTTATCCATTCTTTGGTTGAGGGGCATTTAGGTTTTTTCCAGGTTCTGACTATGACAAATGATGCTGCTATGGTGTGTGTTCTTGCAGAGTAACGAAACTGTTGATTAGGTAACCAATAAGTCACCCTCTGAATGGAAAGGTGGCATAAACAGGAAGCCAATGTACCTGGATTAAAGGATGGGGAAGGACTCCATTTTCTTTAAGGGGCTGGCCACTGGGAGTTTGATCATGCTCCAGTGAGCAGGGTAACACAAATTGAACATTCTATTTATTCATTCATTTATTTATTTATTTTGTTTCTGTTTCTCCTCTGTGGTGGGGCAGGTCACAAGGGTGGGGAGCTGACTTGGGACGACTGGAAATTGTAAGGGGTGTATGATGTAAAATTCCCAAATAATAATCAATAAAAATATTACATTGGGGGGAGAAAAAATGATAGCACATATAGTTTCACCGACATAACTGTCTAAGCATGAGCTGAACAAGGACAACAGCAATAGATATATGGATGAATGGGGAAAAGATGGCAGGCTCTCAACTACTGAAAGACAGCTAAGGAGGGCTGAGCATGGGAGAAATAGTCTTAGCCATGGAAAAGCACACAAATTAGTTATCCAGTATCAAATTATCAGCCCTAAACATACATATGAATAGCATATGCAGACTGAGCAGGTTATATTTAGGAATATATGTATATATACATATGCATATATATGCATATTTTAAAGAGAGTAAACAAGGGTATCTGAAAGGATTTAGAGGAAGGAAAGGCAAGGGGGAAATAGGGTAATTATATTATAATCTCAAAAAGTAAAAGAAAAAATTTTAAGTCACTATTAAATCAGCTCGCTGTGTAGTCAAACTGTTCCTACATCTTAGGGCAGACATCCTTAAGGGTGGCCCCAGGACCAGTAGCACGAGCATAGGAACTTGCTAGAAAGGTATCTTCTTCCACCTAACCCCGAATACACAGAAACTCCAA